AACATCATTTCAAAATTCTTGTACCATTCCACAAAAGTGACACTTCTAAACTTACGACTGTACTTTTTTTTATCTTATTTGTGGTAAATGTCAGGGTTTCAGGGGCTGTTTGTTATTGATTTTCTTCAAAGCTACAGAAGGGCACAGGTAATACAGTGGGTTAGTGATCTGATTCATTGATAACACCAAGAAGATGTGAGACCTCCTAAAGTCTTTCACATTACTAGAAACTACCAGAAGAGCTTCAACACAAAAACCTGTTATTCAGTAACAATCCAACTTAACCAGATGCTAAATGTGCTGAATAGTGTTGCACCATATTTAATAGGGATGCACAATAAATTATCATATAGGTTAGAATATTATATTTTTTTTATTAAATTTTTTTGATTGTGTTTGCTCATTTATTCTAACTGATGCTCACTTAAAGCTAATATTTAGAATATTAAACCTTTAATAACACTGTGAAATGTAATATTTAGCTAATTTTAAAATGAATGCCATTAATTTTTCATACTTCATCATAATGCTGTGATGCCTAAATTCAATTTTAGCAATTAACCAACTAACTTCAGTGTTTTATTTTTAATCTATTTAGAAAAATTAAAGTTGATTTAATTAAACAAAATCCATAATTCTTTATCGGCTTACCGATATTGGACAGAAATGTAATATTGGTGCATCCCATTTATTCAAATTCTTTACAAGAGCTACTGCATATTGGTAAAAATTATTATTTTATTATCTTTTTTTTTGACTGCTTAACATCAGGCAAAGGGACTGACAAAGATGGATGGATGGATACATAGGGGACAAGAAGTCAGTCGCCAAGTGTGGCCATATCTAACTTGTTTGTAATGGATTTCATGTCGTTTCCTAAGACATATGTGCTTGTCACTTGTGATCTCTGAACTCTGACCTCTAAAATGAGGATTATAGTCTTAAGTCCACTTGTCAAATATTTCATATGTGAGGGTGGAAAGGTGAAAGGGTAGACCTATGCCCAGAATGCACTAAACATGCGGTACATGACGATTAGTCATGGGCTATTTCATAGCTTGAAAGCAAAGTGAGGACGGAAGTGGGCAGAGGGACACCGAGATGGGACAGGGACGTGACTCATAGGACAGCTGAGGGGAGCCAAAGATATGAGGCTCTTTGTTATTACCGAAGGCAATTAGGCGTAATGTCTGGTTTCTGCATAGTCTTCAGTGCCATGTGCCCAGCTTTCTTTTAAGGGGTCTAGAATACAGAAAGACAAGCATCAGCTTTGTGACCAGATGAGCTCTGTCTAATTTGCAATGAAGCAGAAAAAAATCACCCGATATCAGAAGGGAAATAATTCAGAGGGAGTATTCATGTCTTCTGCAGGGTCAGCAGGATTTGAGACATACAATTTCATAAAGGGTTTGTGTCGGCTGATTATTTCAAAAGTTCAAATTCAAAAAGGCTAACTTGTTTCCAGGTTTTGGCCTACAAAAATACATCACCCGTGCAGCACTCTATAATCTGCAGATTATAAAATGTACGGATAATGTGTTCACTATTATTATTATTATTACTTTATTATTTCATTTTTACAGTATGTTATTTACAATATTAGAGATTATTTTGTGTAATAATTTATGGCATGCCACAGACTGATCCCATATTTAATCGTGAACATTCCTTTTTAGCACTATGCTTATATGTGACCCTGGACCACAAAACCAGTCTCAAGTCGCTGGGGTATATTTGTAGCAATAGACAAAAATACATTGTATGGATTGAAATTATTGATTTCTTTTTAATGCCAAAAAATATTAGGATATTAAGTAAAGATCATGTTCCATGAAGATATTTTGTAAATTTCCTACTGTAAATATATTAAAACTTAATTTTTGATTAGTAATATGCATTGCCAAGAACTTAATTTGGACAACTTTAAAGGCGATTTTCTCAATATTTAGATTTTTTTGCACCCCCAGATTCCAGATTTTCAAATAGTTGTATCTCGACCAAATATCGTCCGATCCTAACATATCATACATCAATGGAAAGCTTATTTATTCAGCTTTCATATGATGTAGAAATCTAAATTTCGAGAAATTTACCCTTATGACTGGTTTTGTGGTCCAGGGTCACATATACTGTATGTTCACATATAAATGAAATGAAAACTATTCCCACGTAAAATAAAGTGTCCCAGAGAAGCACATGTCAGTGTTGGTAAAACCCATCCTCCTCTTTGCAGGTCTCGGTGTTACAGGCATCATAAGGATGAATGATTTATCCATAACCATCACTCATTCTCTCTCACCTCCTGTATCACCAACAGGCTCGCACTCTCATTAATATCTCTTAATGTTAGTGCCAGACACCTTGATTTACGCTGGGCATTTCCTGCCAACTACAAGCAATAAAGGCACGAGGCATCTCTCACAGCACTCATCCACTGACACACCCAGAGATTTACGGCTGCACCGGATACACACTCCATGACTCCCCCACCCAATGATTTGAACGACTGATCTTGACAGATTCATCCATACGGAAATGGCACGTCTCAAGCGCTCATCAGAGGATGGGATCAGGTGACAAATAGGCAAAGGGAGGAGTCCGGAGAACAAGGAGGAGGAAAATGGATCGTTGGGTGATTTTATATTTCTTTTAACAGTCCCCATGCTGTCATCACTTCAACATTGATTGCAGCTGCTCAAAAATACAAATGTTATCATGTGTTCAAGAAGCGTTGACCAGAGACTAATGAGTAGGCTTGGTATCGAATGGTTTCCAGAAGACAGTGAGGAACGCTTTGACATGGGAAATGCAAAAACAAGCCAGGCTTATCCATCACTGCCTTTGATACATGGCGTGATGTTACGGCTGTCACCCGTCAGCAGGCTGGAAAAACACATATACACGCGCAGATCTGAGAAGAGTTATCCATACGTCTCCCCTGAGTGTCTTTATGGGCATTAGTCAGCTGTGACAGCTCATTCTGTCTATGTCAATCTGTGCCGCACACCTACCTGAGCAGACTGAGTGACTAGCTAGGTCTGGTGACGGTCACAGTGAGGCAGATGGAAAAAAGGTGTATATGAAACAGCACAACCTTCAGGGATCTAGAATATGCATTGCACATCATGCATCAACCCTAATTTGGGTTAGAAATGTAATATTATCAGACCATTATGGCTTTAAAATTTGATTGGACGAACCATGTTTTAGACCCATGGCCCATGCTTCATCTTTACAGGTTGATTTTTGGATTGATTTGATGACAAAAATTGGGGCCTAATACTTGGTGGTGGCAAAACCCCTACGATAAAACACCAATGTTCAAGTTAAATTTAATAATAATAAACTTATTTATTTCTTATATATTTTAGCTTAACTGTATGCAGTTTATGGTTGCGCATTAATATAGCCCATGGAATCAAATTATAAATCTGGAAGTATTCTGTTAATAATTAAGCTATAAGGCAAGAGTGGCTGTGTTATACAGTGTAATTATTTATATACTATTATAGCATTTATTATTTTTAATTCACTTTTTTTATATTTTCAGTTTTCAGTAATTTTAGTGTTTGGTCATTTTTTATTAATTTCTTTTTTTTCCAGTTTTACTCATTTTAGTACTTAAACGTAAACTTATTTTTATCAGTTGTCAAGGCAACATTTCTAATTTTCTATTTTCTTTTAATTTTTTTTTTGTTTTAGGTTTCCATCTTATATTTTTATTTCAAATTCAAATCAAAAGTTTTAATAGTTTTAGTTAATATCAACACTGGTGCTCTATTGTGGACATATCAATATATCAGTTAATCAAAATTTTATATTATTAAGCAAACAGGTGGCGTCTTACCACTCCTTAGAATAATAGAACGTTCCTATGCAACAAAAATAATACATTATGGGAGGCATGCAGTGATATGACTATAAGGTGTTTTGCATCATAATTGCTACTATCTTGAGGATTTTATCAGATCTGTAATGTGGTAGTGACCAGACAGAATCCAAGATCAGAACTATTTCAATACACACACACACACTGTGTGACAGCCAGGACATTAGTTGAATTTTGTATTAATTCGCCAAGCTGCTCTCTCTATGATTGTTATGTTGTTTGGCAATGGCAAAAAACCTAGTTAGGTTAATGAACTACTTAATGGATGAATTGTACCAATTGAACATTGGCATTTTTTTTTCATATTGCTGTTGTTGCCATTTTATGAAAGCAAAGGCACTCAAATCTGTGGGTTTTAGGCAATCCACTTCACATCGCTGCCTAACACCCCTTGACTGTGGTAAAATAATGGGTCACTAAAACTGTATTACAGAACACAGATATTTGCTTTGCGTGTCAGGGATAACAGGCTCAGATCAGCCTCCAAAAAACAGTTGGCTATATTTTAGCATTGGTAAACCATTAATTCTTTCCACAGCAGTTATGAGAGTAACATGGAAATACCATGGTTCTTCAAATACATTACACTGTCTTAGTGATCAGCAAGGAACATAATTGATTCAAGTGTTTTGAATGACATGACAATATTATATCTACATATTTTATAATTTATTTGACTGATTAAGCCAATAGAGAGACTAACTGGTTTTACACATAAAGGACACACAGTAATTACATTATTAATGTATCCATTTGTACATTTTCGGTGTATCTTCTACCGACGAGCATTTTAACACTGGGGTATTTGCTAACAGCAATGAATCCTAGCGAGAACCACCAAATGATTGATTTTGTTAAAGCCTTGAGACGAGCTCTGCGTATTCACATGCACTGGAATGATCCAAGGATTTCTGAATATTCAAGTGTTTTATTTTGACATTCATCTGTAAAATACAATGAAGATTAATGATATGCACTGAGTGATGAATGAATCTCAATCCACTTCACATCGCTGCCTAACACCCCTTGACTGCGGTAAAATAATGGGTCACTAAAACTGTATTACAGAACACAGATATTTGCTTTGCGTGTCAGGGATAACAGGCTCAGATCAGATCAGCCTCCAAAAAACAGTTGGCGTGTCGATAAGAGCGCTGGCGATGGCTATACCTGCAGACAACACACAACAAAGCAAGCTCAGGGTCAGAGAGGAGCAGTGCAGACTCACAGAGAGCATGTCAAAGCAAAGTTATTTAAAAAAGGGACAATGGTAACTTAAAGCTATCTCTTTCAAAAGAACAACTATCATCTCGTTCATTTTTAAAGACCAATTTTTGACTCTTCATGCATAAAGAAGAGGGTCCACACATGCCTTGGAAGACTAAGAAACTACTCCTTGTTCAATGTCAAGGTCATTGGTTTCAAGGAGCATCCCTTTCTCTTATTCTGTAGCCACTTTCTCTCATTCTAGGATGGGGGTTTGAAGTGAGCTCGACTCCCAGCACCCTATGTTTCGCGCCAGGATTCTGTCATGGACTGCTGTGGTCAAAACCATGTCCGCAATCCCAAAGCCATTTTTCAAAACAGCATCTCACAAATCATCCTGCAAACACAACGGCCACGTCTGTGCTAGTCTGGCACTGCTCCCTCCCTGCTATTGAAGCAATACAATTATCAGAGGGGAACAATTCATTACTTCAGACAGGCCAGGGCAAAAGGAATTGAATTCAGCACAACAGTGTGAAGCCAGAGCTTCAAGTGTTCAGGCAAAGAGGATTTACATCCAAGAACAACCTGAGCCTCAGACAGTTACACACTGCCCTTCATCGATTTATTACCCATCACACCTGGGCCTCAGGGAGGAATGTGAAAACTCCACATCTGTCAACAGAACAGTTCTGGGGAAGTGTGCAGTGTACGCCTACTACTGGTGTGCTTTTAGAACTGGTTTTGCATGAACTTTAACTACTCACCATTCAGGTCAAAAAGGATCGGACATGAGCCAGTAATGGTGGGTCAGTAGAGTTTAAAAAAAAAATACTGCTAGATTTAAAAAATAAAAAGGGGTCAGATCGTGAGGATTTTAGAATAAAAGAGTTTGCTAACTTGCTGAGCTGCAAAAATGGCTTCAGAAATTCTTGAATTTCAAGTGTCAAAAACCCAAACATTAAGAAATGACCACCAACATATACTCATCATCAGTTATAAAATAAAATATACAATAAAAAATAAATAAAATAAAATACTACAAGCACATATCTCCACATTTTTTCTTTACATTGCTTCAACAAAAATGATTTAATGTTATATAAAGCCAGACATGCATGTTTTCCTACTGAAATCCCAATGAGAAGAAAAAGAGGTCACTTATTTGATCACACATGCATGTAATGAGCAAACATCCAGTTGATTTTGTTAGCCAGGCGCAAAATGAGAAAGACCTTCAGCACCATGGAAATCTCGTAGGATCTGTGAATATAATCAATATGGTTAGAAGCGATCAGCTGTCTGTTGGCTGAGTTCATTACCATGTCCCAGCGCTAGGTCGAGTGGGAGGCTATTTCAGTGTAAAAAAAAAATAGGTACCATGTTTTCAAGATCAGGATCAGGTGACGCACCACTTTATCCGAGCAGACTAACACCTACACATCCCATCCTGCTGTGAAACTTCCAAAAAGACGAACCAAAACAAAGCTCTTTGACGACAAAGAGACATCTGTACACGAAGCTCCTGTGCTTCTCTCCAAAAATATTCTTTGTTGAGTCAGAAGAGTCTCAGCATTTTTACCCCTCAGTCTCTCTCTCCTTTTATTTCTCTCTCTATATCTGATGTACCTCTCTCCAAAAGTGCTCATGACGAACTTCAACAGCCCAGCAAGCAGCCACTCTAAAGTTTTCAGTGCCATGAAATTACAACAAAGCTCAGTCTCGACAGATCCAACTTCTTTAGATATCACCAGAATACTCTTTTTGTGCATATCAGTTGTTGTTGTTATGCGCTGTTATTTGTTGCCTCTATTTTGTGCTTGTCAAACAAAAGAGAAGCTATTAGAGATGCTTTATTGAAACAAAAGTTGTTGTTTTTTTCTCCAGATCAGTCAAGTTCCTGGGGAGGAAGTCGAGCTTAAAGGGACAAGGTCCCATAAAGCAGCATGTTGACTGACAGGCCTGCTGAGAAGAGGAGGGGGTAAAAGCTTTTTATTCTTAGTCCAATCTTATCACTCTGTAGTTCTCAAAGCCAGACAGAGTTCTATGAGACAGACCTCGAGCTGACATGGCTTTTAAAGCACCGCTGTCTAAATATATGCGTGTGTGATGTGTCAGTATGAACTCTCAGAAAAGGTGTTGTCAGGTGAAGGTGAATGACAAAGATGGGGGGGAATACAGAAACTGGACACCATCAATATTGAATCAATTATTTTTTGTTTGTACATTTGTAGAAGACAAATGTCTTCTTGTTTGTTACAAGACAATCCTTTGTCTCAAAGTCAAGGACACTGAGAGGTGCAATATCTTTTCTTGGTTCAATAAGCTGTAACAGACTGGATCTTTTTTATTCAGGCTATAGACAGGAGACATTCAGACTGGGGTAAATCATAGTGGTGTAAGAGGATATGACCTGCAGTCACAGACAAACTTACATCAGACCACCAGGGGAACGCTAGAGAACTTCACTGACTTCCTACATGAAATTAATTCCCACATGGGGAAAGAACCAGACTGCAACAAAATAAGTGAGCAGCGGGCATGTTAATTCAGTATGAAACATTAACTGAGAAGCTGCCTGTACCATGTCAGAGTTTTAAATTTCAGTCAAATTTTATGCCAGGGATAAACTTACCAAGCACACTTGGAGGATAAACCACCAAAGAACATGTAGAAACAATTGGGGTGCACAATACATCAGTACAATATCAGTTTTCTGTGGATATTAGAGATTTTTGTTTACTATATCGGTATGGTTCGAGATTTGATATTTTCTCAATTTTTAAATTTAGATTATCTTTGCTGTAATGCTCACTTAAAAGATAATCTTCAACACTAATAATTTAATAATTAATTTTATTATAATTTAATAAAATTATACAATTCGTTGATGTAATGCTAGTAACACTAGTAATTTAACAATTAATTAAATTATAATTTAATTAAAAATATTATTTAATAATTTATTACCACTGTTAATGTCAAAATGAATATCCATTTTTCATAAAATATTGTGATGCCTAAATGTAATTTGTAGCATTCACTTATAGCATTAGTGTTTTATTTTGAAATTATTTAGCCAAAAGAACTTAGGTAAAGAATTGTGATATTAACCACAGCATCAAAATAATTATTGTCTTATTGATGTTGGTGATGCTTATATGATGCTGATGAGTTTTAATACTGGTACATCCTTAAGAAGAATTTTAGAACAATGAGCCACTTGGTTTATTTCAACTGACACAGCCAATTCTGGTGACAAAAAATTATTATAATAAGTATTTTGTGGGTGCATAATGCTTCTACCTCAATTTTCCTATAATCTGTGAGCAAAACAAGGTGGTGCACCATGATATAGTAATGGTATCAGACATTAATGAATTTGGCTGATGCTTTTATCCAAAAAGACTTATATTGCATTCAAGCTTTGCATTTCCTAAAAATCAAACCCATTACCTTGGTTGTGGCCAGCACCATGCCCTACTGTTTCAGAAAGGCTACATGTAAAACAAGGTACATATAAATTGGGGACACATTTTACGACACCTTTGGAAATTACTGACCTGACTGGCCGGGTGGAGGAACACCAGATGCCACTCTTGGGAGGTACATTAGCACTGTGAGCACTGCTGCTTTAGCCCCTGAACAGGGTTCCACAGCAACTGGCTTGGGCGGTCCCTGTGAAGAGATCAGAGGAGAGGAAATGTGTCATCTATAACAAGCCTCCTCCTGAACACATCACCATCATTCACAAATGTCACAATACTCAGTGTGAGCTGACATTGTAGGATGTCTCTCGCAGGTCGACAGAAAAGGAAAATCCACATCGTGATAATCTCAGTAACAAATCATCTCCCTGAAACTCAAAGACTTCGCAAAGTGCAAGCCACTTTCAAGTTCACATCATGCACGCACAGGCGGAGAAAATCTGTGACATTTCAGGTTGTTGACTACCAACTCGGGTCGTGTTGTAGCACCAGCTCTTCAGTGGGAGCTGCCCTGGATAGAAGTATGCATCAGTGGGTCTCTGATGCAACGCAGTGGAATGAGGAGGAAGGAAGCCACAGGCAATTGTGATCTTAAAATGCCATCTTTTATCTCACATTACAGATTATTCAGTGCTGGTCCACATTTAAAATGAATGCTTTTTAAAAAAAAAGGATTTGTCAATGGTTTTATGTGTTTTAATGACAAAGGGAGTCATAAATGTCCTTGCCAATGAATAAAGCACACGTGTGATGTTGTGTGTGTGGGATATTGTCTTTAAGATTCCCTCAGCTCATTAATACACTCTCATCTCTGGCCCTCCACACACACTCTGACTCAGCTATAGAGTGGCTTTATTCACCATTTAAAGAGAGTGCCTCTTCAAGAGCTCTTCCGAGAGCGTGCTGCAAGATCATAGACTTTGGCAGCCAATGGCTCTCCACAAAATGAAGCTTTAATATTTTACCTCAGTGGCCAAAATGCGTAAAAAAAAAAGAAAAAAAAGTAAGACACAAAAAAGGGAACAGATGCCAACTATTATTTTCTGCCAAGAATGGTCCTAATCGAGTCTATGAATTTAGCGCCAGCCGTCAAACCAACAAAGTTACCCTAAGGTACATTTCCCTAAAGCAGGAATGTTTAATACAAATCTGGCCCTTTCCCACCTCTATATAATTATGGCAATTATTGAAGCACACAGAAGATATTTAATTGAGCTTTCTGTGGATTTGGACTGATATGCAGATCATTAAAATGTTTTTTTGTGTGTGTGTGTCCTATTGCATCGTATCACACAACCAAACAGACCGTCAAAATCTGCCTATATCCATTTTTCAGCTTAAATTAACAATACTTTTATTAAGGCACAAGTCAGGAGATGGATACAAAAACATTTCAATGGCTTTATCAATGCCTAGAAGCACAGTGAAGTCTATTATTGTTATGAAGTGGGTGGTATTTGGAACAACACAGACCCTCCCTAGATCACAACGTCGCTCCAAACAGGATGAAAGAGCCAGGAGGAAACTGGTCAGAGAGGCTACCAAGAGGCCTAAAGCAACTCTGAAGCAGTTGCAGGAATTAATGACAAAGAGTGGTCATTGTGTGCATGTGACAACAATATCACAAATTCTCCACAAATGTGGCTTGTACGGGAGGGTTGCAAGAAAAAAGCCACTCCTCAAGAAAGGCCACTTGCAGTCACGACTGAGCTTTGCCAAAGCACAACTTTGGCGCTTTTCCACTGCATGGTACGGCACGGTACGGTTCACTTTTGGGAGGTTTTCCACTGGGTACAGTACCTGGTACTTTTTTTAGTACCACCTCGGTTGAGGCTCCAAGTGAACCGTACTGTTACCAAAACGTGACGTGTTCCGCGTCGCCCCATCAAGCTCTCGCTGGATCCGCTCCTCTGCTATCAATGAGAGGAACATCTGTACTTCCTTAACATACAACGAAACAGCCACTTTTTGGTTGTTAAAAAAGGTGATTACCAAAACGTGATGTATAAACTCTGCTGATCACTGATTGGCCGGAGAGAATCGTCACTATCTGCGTCACTGAACTTGAACTAAATTTAATTATTTGGCCTCAACACCAAACGATATGTCTGGCGGAAATCCAATACAGCTCATCATCCAAATAACAGCATTCCTACAGTAAAGCATGGAGGTGGTAATATCCTGTTATGGGGGAGTTTCTCTGCAGCAGGGACTGGAGCACTTGTCAGGACAGAAGGAAAAATAAATGGGGCAAAATACCATCAAATTCCTGAATAAAATCTGCTGCCCTCTGACAGAAAGTTGTCAATGGGAAGAAGGTTTACCTTCCAACATGACCCAAAGCACACAGCAAAAAAGTGGGGAACAAATGCACAAATATATACAGCAATGACTATACAAATGCATAGCCTTTCTGGAGAGGCAAGATTTTGCCTAATAAAATCATAGAGAATGTGTTCAGTTCTAAAATGAAAGAATGCCCAAGCCTATCGCTTTCTCTCATTTTGTGATAGAACTCGTGGAACGTGAAGGCATAGGCGTGGAGGGGCTTGTGAAAGGTCAAATTAAGCTTGCGCTGACAGTGATGTCCATCAAGCCCAGCGGACAGAGGCTGTTATCAGAGCAATATCTGTCTCTTTGAGAGGAAAAGAGGCCACTTGTGCTGCACTTAAAAAGTTCAAAGCCATTGTTTCTGAGTGACAGGGGTGGCAGGGGGCGTCTAGCTTCCCTTCTAGCTCCTTGATTCCTCCGTGTGCAGAATATCATTGTTTTTCCTCTTGATTGTCTCTCTCTCCTTCACACTGCATGTTGTTTTTTTCTCAAAATCAGTCTGTAGTCTGTGGAGATATATCCTTCCCTTTCTAAAGGCCTACTTAGATCTTAAGGACAAGGTTAAGTTTACACCATGGAGAAAAACGTACCCATAAGGATGGATTGTCGATACAATAATTTGCTCTGCTAGCCAGACAATAGGGGTCTAGTCTCTAATCCACCACAGAGCACCATATTTATCATAAGTGATAGACAGAACAAACCACAATGGTTTGACAGTGGCCTCAAGACTCTTCACTCTGACCGTCATATACAAATGCATCTTCTTGCTTTTGAATGATAGAGAAAACCTCATTATTTCTGGCAAAACACACCAATTACAGTAAGTGATTCATGCTAAATATAACACTTAATTACTTATCTCCATTTTCAACCCTACACTTGCATACCCATTTCTGGCCAGTGCTATCGTCTGAGCTTGGTAGTTAAAGATCTATTTCAATTTCACACCCAAACATGCATGCAATAGACCTTACACTTGAAAGTACTTTTAATGACAGAAAAAAAAAAATGTTCAAAGCTTTGAAACATTTGACTAATTTTAATGTTTGTTCTGTGAGTGTACTGTACATGTAGGGTACATGTCTTTTAATATGTTTTCTATAGTATATATGTCTTTTATATATAAAAATTCCTCAGAGGAAAAAAAATGACAAACATTAAATATTGCTTAATAAATTATTATTATTTTATTATAAAATATAATATAGTGTATAAAATGAATAAATACATCCCACAAGGTTAAAAACTACTCCTTTATACAAAAAAGATAATCCATCAAAGAAGAGTCCTATTTATAGAACTCCTATAAAACATCCATCACAAAATACTTGACACAAAAAGACCCTAAAACAGGGGTGGCGAACTCCGGTCCTGGAGAGCCGCAGCC